ATCGAGCAACAACTGCACCACTTCAAAGTGGCCATTGAAAGCTGCACTCATCAAGGCGGTGAATCCATCTGCCATTACCGCATTCATGTAAGCCCCAGCCTCAAGCAGCAACTGCACCACTTCAAAGTGGCCATTCTGAGCTGCAGCCATCAAGGCGGTTCTTCCATCTGCATTCGCCGCATTCTTGTCAGCTCTAGCGTCGAGCAACAATCGCACCACTTCGAAGTGGCCCCGTTGTGATGCAAAGTAGATAGGTGGATGGTCGGTTTTGGCACCTGCACAATTAGGATCGAGTGGTTTCTGAAGTAAACTTGTAACTTCCTCAACTTGATTCCCCTTACACGCAAGGAGTAGTGCTTCCCAAAGGGCCTCCTCAGGCGCACAGAAATCGAGGATTACCAACTGCACACTTGGTAGCTGTCTGACAGGCATATCATCCTGTAGCTCACCCATGTCTTGACACAGCAGTCTTTGTCGAAATCTTGAGTATCCAACCCGAGTGGCCAGAAGCTTCTTCAGATCCTTCACATGTTTTCCACTCTCCACCATGTAGCCCAATTCCTCCTCGTGAAGCTGGGTCACAGTGGCACCTGAGAGCGTTGTAATCTCCATTGCTCTTTCACCCTTTTGGGGTGAGCTAATGGCTTAAAGGGCCTCCTGAAGCATGGGTATGAGCCGAAAGGGCTTGTGTGTCTCTGTGTTTTTTCTCTTTGTTTTTCTTTTTGTCCTTGTCTGTTTCTGTCTCTTTCTCTTTCTCTATTCTGTTCTCTCTTCTCTATTCTTTTCTTCTCTTTTCAGCTCTTTTCTCTCTTCTCTTCTCTTCTCTTCTCTTCTCGTCTCGTCTCGTCTCTTCTCCTCTCTTCTCCTCTCTTCTCCTCTCTTCTCCTCTCTTCTCCTCTCTTCTCCTCTCTTCTCCTCTCTTCTCCTCTCTGCTCTTCTCTTCTCTTCTCTTCTCCTCTCCTCTCCTCTTTTCTTATCTCTCTCTCTCTCTCTTCCTTACCTCCTTCTCATACAAATGCTGACTGTGCAAGTCAAGTGTTATATTCCGCCATGAGGCCTTGAGCTATAGGGAAAGGTATTGCGAGAGTGGCTAGGCAGTCTCTTGGTGGGCCCAAACGAAACACTACACTTCGTGCGGTAGGGAAGGGGAGATTCACCATGGTAGCGGAGCAACCGACTCCGCGTACTTGCCACCCTTGTCAGTAGTTGAAAGAAGTTAAATTTGGTCAACATTGGTTCACGAAAAACACAACTCTTTAGATGTGTGGTTATGGTTTTTATGCTGAATTGTCCCTATTGGTGAGTCTGGGTGGTTCTGGTGCCCTTAGGTCTAGGCGGCCTTTTGCGCAAATACATGTTTGAGGCTGCAGACTGAAACCGTGTGATAGAGAACCCGGAGAAGCTTTTCAACTGATGCGGCATTCATGTTGTCGCACCAGGTCCAAGAACTTTACGCGGTGAGCCGAGCAATTGGACCGTCCCTGAGAAATGGTGATGGTTTGGGTTGAGGTTTTCAAGTACACAGAATGTGAGTAAGAGTGTCATTACGATGTCCAAATGAGGGTGGTCCCCAAGCCCATCGGACAGAAGTTCCGGCCACAATGGAAAAAAACGCATCTGGAGATCTGTACCGAATGCCGAAGAACTGCTGTTGAAGCAAGAGATCCCACACCATTCGTGGTTCCAGTATTTGTCTTCCCTCAACATATTGCACCTCTACACCCCCAAACCCAAAAAGCCCTCAATTTAAGGTGTTTTTGTTGCTCTTTTCCTTCTCCATCCGTCTCTCAACTGGACCCAGAACTGGCCAAAAGCCCACACACCTCCATCACTCCCATGTCAGTCTCATCTTCCCTCCACCACTGTCACCTGCCGTCCCATGCACCAAACACCCCCCCCCCACCGACCCCACGCCTTGCTCCTTGGTGGGCCGGTCCGACGTGCCAATCCAATCGTCCGAGGTGCCCAGCCACACCTGCCAGGTCCGGACCGGACCCCGAGAACGCGGAGGCGACGTGGGCGGAATCGTCGTCGGTCGCCTGGAGGTCCGAGATGTAGGACAAGGGAGTGAAGGAATAGGTGATCTTCAGCACCATGCCATTGCCCCTGAAGCTGTAGCTTCCTGATTTCAGCGAGAGAGTCAAAGCGAACCTCACAGTGAGTGATGTGATTGAGATGTGATTGAGATTATGTGGCTGAGTTTGGCTCCAAGGAGTTTGGGCCTTTGCACCTAAACTTGCGCTGTGGCTGTGGCTTGACGTGTCGACTTCTTTTTGTAGATGGAACTCGTGGAACTCGCACGTCTCCATGCGAACCCGTGAACCCCAAATCGATTCGCATCGATCGAGGCTCATGTTTGTTTGTTTGTTCCCGGAACCCCAAATCGATGTCTTATGTCCTTGCTCCCGCCGTGCCCTCTGAATCACAGCACTCCCCGCTGAACGTGCGCACACAGAAACTACCGTGATCCGGCCGCTCGTCTTCTGACGATTCGCTTCGTGAGAGAAAAAACAATATATGTCCTTGCTCCTACGTTCGTTTGATTTGGAAGTGCACACATATATAACATAAAGGAAATCAAAGGTGTGTTCCTGCATGTCATTTCTTCTGGTTTGCAGGCTGCCCCTTGGAAGTGGCTTGATCACATCGTTTGACAAACAGAACTTTGATTGTGATCGACAAAACGATGCCAACCACCTGACACTTGCACGAACTTTGAGAGCAACACCTTGCTACTATTTCAACCGATTGGCAAGGTTTACAGAGCACGATGTGCCAAACATCTAGTACTTGTAATAGTTGCTTGTTGGAAAGTCCCCGGTATCTCCAAATCAGCGTTCAACATTTCCAAACCTGTCCGCACCATGAGCGGGACCCTCTGTATCCGGCTTCATCCATCGCATAAAAGTTGAGCGAATGGATAAGTCCACACCCAAATCTACCAAATCTGTAGAGAAGGTCGTGAGACAATGCCCTGGTGGCACTTCCTCCATCTACGTCAGGAAGGTCTACATCAAGCGGGGTGGTTGATGTCTCGGCCCATGTCGATCCAAGTGGCGCAGCACTTCGGCCTGATCGGCCGTGTCTCGGGCAACGCGTCCCATTCCACCCACATGCGAGCGACTGACAGCACTTCTATGTCAAGGACATCAAACACTTCATTAAGGACATCAGGACCTTGGAGTGGTCACCCTTTCTAGGAGTGGGGTTCATTGGGGGGGGCTTCCCCGAACCAAAAAGATGTACAAGAACATGATGTGACCGTCCGGAAGTCCTTACAAAAAACACATATATATATATACGAAACGATGTTCGTCATGTCTTCCATGTGGCAATGGTGATCCCGTGCAATGGTGATCGGGAGTCAGCCTTTCGAGGCATTATGGATCTAAAAGATTCGTTTTAAACCCGCCTCTAAGTATGAACTCAAGCACCTCAGTCGGTGTCGGGGTCTTCCGCCATGTTGACAGTCAGGCAGTTTCAACAGTTGGGAGGGAAAATTGACTGAACGGGCCATCCTAATCAGAAGAGATAAGGAGAGCCCAGACACAAAGTGGGATAGTAGGCTTTAAAGTCTGAAGTTCCCTTTTGCCAGCATTCTTCCCAATTAACAATTCCTCCATCCGCAAACAAACAGACTCTGACTCTGCGCCTTGGGCACACCATCCACACTGAGCTGGCAGCGTGTGGCCATGCTGCTGGTGCCCTTGGAACTCTCCAGAGAGACTTCACCTCGGCGTGATCTCACTGTTTTTTCCCACTTCCCCGTTCAGCTTGGGAACCTCCGAATCTCGGGAGCACCAAGGTATTTTAGCAGGATTCATGTCAGTTCCCCAAGCTGAAGCTGGTTCATTTCAGTTCCCCAGGCATCTTGGGATTCCTGTAGGAGTTGGTTCATATCAGTTCCCCAAGCTACCCTGCTACGACACGAGTCATACGAACCAGGGGACATGTGAGGTCTTCACCACCCTCCGTACGGTCGGTACACTTGGGTCGGTCCAAGGTCAACCACTGGAGTTACCATGATCTAACTGCTAGACTGCTACACATGTCAGGTTCAAACCCCCACTAAGTCACTGTAGTGACATGAAATAGCTCCAAAGCTCTCTTTGCAAAATCTATTGGAAATCATGTGTCAACGAAATTCATGCGTTTCTGCGCACCAACTGTAACTTATGGCTCACTAATTGTTTCTTTAGCATGCTTTAACCTTTCAAGTAAAAAGGGTAGCAAATTTTGCCTGAATGACCATCCTCTTCGGGTCCTGTTCCTCATACCCTACGGATGTCAAGTAGACATCAAACTGACCCAAACCCTTATCCCTACCGTCCATCAGCCTGAAGGACCAAATGAGCACATGTGATTGCAAGGGAGGCCAAGCTACCATAGCTAGTCTTCTGGTAATTGTTGTACTCTTGACCCATATAGTTTGGGTCTATCCTAAGACCGGTAAAAGTGGATTTTTTCCGCTTTCTGTCTTATCTGGACACGTATTGTGCCCACAAACAACTAGTCAGCTGCAGCGTACTAGTAGCCTAATCTATTGCTAATTGGCATGAAGCTCAACTCGAAGCCGAACGAATATTGCTCACAAGTGTTTGAAATGGTATGTGGAGCACATCTGGTGCCGCTAATGGTATACCCTTGACTCTCCAAGGATTTGTGAAATTTCTGGCAGGAGGGTTGACCTGCTTCAAATACCTGTCGATCTCCAAATATACTTCAGTTCCTTTAATGAGATGAGGGATTCCATGCACAGCAGGGTACCAACCACGGATGCCAAGCCATCCAAGTGTATCCGACCGTTTGAATCGTTGACGGTGTCCACGAAAGATGGGAATGCCCTGCGATTCGAGCCATGTAATGCAGAGGTTAAAGTTTTTGGTCTGCGTACTACCCATAGGTACTTTAGCCAACAAATCAGCACGAACAGATTGGTCAGCTAAATCAAAATGGTAACAGTGGATGCTGATGGTTAGTAAAGGCCTCGTTCCAAAATAGTGATAATTCTTTACTGACTGTTACAGGTAAGGAAGGTAAGTTCGGACAGACCCAAAAAGTCATATACGAACACTTGTTACTACTAGCTTCTTGTTACTACTAGTAAGGCACTTGTTACTAGTAGCGTGGCACTTGTTACTACTAGCGAACCTTGTTACTACAAATCCGTCCAACGTACCAACCCTCCCCCGTCCAACTCTCTCACAGGCTCCCCGGCGGCCCAGGGTCGCCAACTGCCCGTCCACCTCCGCCGAGGCAGGATAGAATCCGTCGAGTTTGGGCCAAACAGGTTTGGTTGGAGACACCCCAAACCTATATAATACTTAGGTCTCAAAAACTGATACCATCCTATAAAGGTTGTTCTAAGAACAAGGTGGTGATAAATGCTCTAGTTGATAATGGTTCATGAATGGTGCATATTTGATCATATTTGTCTGGTGGTTCATCTCGGATCAGCTGCTCAGGTGGTTCCTGATGCAGTGTGAACCTTTTGGCCCCACCATTGTTCCAGAAGTCAAGACGCCTTGGATTCTCATGCAATGTGAAAAGGAAGAAAGGCCCCTTTTTCATGAGGGGTTCCCACGAGTCGTCCCCCTTCTGTTCGAGACAACGCCACCCCGGGTTCGGGGTCCCCGTTGGGACAGACCGGGCGCAGCGGCGCGTTTGGGGCGCCTTGATGGCATATTCCAGCTTGTTGCTGCCGTAGGTGAGCTTCGTCCAAGCGTCGTTGGGGCTATAGGAGCTGCCCATGGTGCCAAGCCGCTCGGTCCAATGGGCTGAGTAGTAGAAAGGTTGTCCCAGGCCTTGGGCCGCGATGGCCGCGATGGCGATCCACTCGATGACACCACCTGTTGGGTCTTCGTACAGTCGGATGCCCTTCTGGAGCGCCGTTGGGCCCTTCGTTAGAGTGCACTCTTCCAAAAGGAACATCGCCCCCCTGGGAAGGATGGTATGGGGGAGAGGGCTGAGTTAACATGAACTGGTGGCGTGTGGAAAGAATGATTGGTGAAGAATGGGGGGGAGAGCTCAATGCTGGCGCATGTTGGTAGCTTCATGGTCCCAAAAGTTCCTCACAAGCACTTGTGACCCTTTAACCAAATGTCCGCCAAATGCTGTACGTGCACCACAGTCATCATCAACTACGACCATGTCTTGTTTGTTCCATTTTTTCTGGACCTTTTTGGTCCACTTCAGCACCCCTGTCACCCTCAACCGAGCATGGATACCAGCCACAATGCAAACCAGATTTGTCTATATTGGTAGGCCACCTGGGAGTGCAGACCTTCGTTCTGCAAGACTTGGAACCGTTGGATTTTCCGGGTTCACTGCGAGATTTGGACTCCCAAACAACTCGAGTGCAGACTGAGCCGGGGGAGTGCTGAGCCGGGGTTCCTTTGGTTTCCATCTCACGAGCTGGTGCTGAAGGCGAAGTTTTGGCCAGGGCACTTCCATCCTGCATCACGGCGATCTTCATGTACCGCGACTCGAGCACCTCGGGTCGCACAGAGGTCGCACAGGGGGTAGCACTTGGGGGCGCTTTGGGCTGAAACATGTTGCAGGGAGAAGGGCTCCCGTGTCAAGTTCTAGGGCAGGAGGTTGGTAAGTACTTGTGCAGAAAGTATATCCTCATCAAGTATGCAAGTTTACGGGATTTGCTCAGAACCCTGGTAATGAAACCTAGATCTATAGGAATCCAAAAGTGATTCCAAACTAAGGAAATCGATTCCCCGAAAGAAAAGGTCATTGTCCACCGATTTCGGAGTCGAGTCGAGTCGTTTCGGGATTCACCTGATGCGATGGACTCCTTCACGTGATTCAAAATGTTGACCCAACCCTGTCCGGAAGCTCTTCCCATCCACTTACCAATGACCCTTCCCAGTCGAGCTACCCCCAGTCCCTCCAGCGTGGTCGTGCTGGTGGTGGCCGGTATCGTCGGCACCGGCAGTGTGGCCACCGTCCCCAGCGTCGTCGGCGGCGGCGGCGGTGTCGTCGCCGGCGTGGTGGGCAGTGTGGCCAGCGTGGTGCTCTCGAAGGTCGTGGTGGTCGTGGTGGTCGTCGTGGTCGGAAGTGCTGCGTGGTCGGGACAAGGTAGGAAGCACAATGAAGTTCAATGAAGCACATGAACCAAGACAACAGCCTGACTGTGTCTCAAAAGTAGGAAGACACTCCCAAAAAAGGCCTCCGCTAGAAGGAGAGAAAATGTCCATCCTTTCCCACTTACCACTGTTGAATGCCATGAATGGTCCTTCACAACGCACCACCGTTCTCCCCCGCAGCAAGCCCGTATGGGGAGTGTGGCCTGCGGATGTCCCTCCCGGGCCTGCGGCGGCCACCTCTTCACAGACTCTTGCCAAGTGTGACAACTGCGAGGCGGCCGCTGCCTGGGGGAGACGTCAACACCGGACCTTTCTCAACAGGCGGCCGCTGCCAACGGGTGTGGCGCAGCTGGTCGGTTTTGAGAGAGATCTTTGCATGGCGATAGCGCCACACCAAAAGTGACGGCAGGTGGTTGAGGTGATATCATGCACATGGCTTCCGAACTGAAATGAAACATCTTATCTTGAGAGACTGATGCAAGAACGCAACCCTGCTCTAGCTACAGGGAGCTGGAGGACACCCTAAGCATCTTGGATCAACTCTCTTCAGTGATCCAGAAACCCAGAGAGCTTCCCAGTCACTATACCTACAGTGTCTTACGTGTGCTTCTGTCATGTCAACACATTTGTCAGTAAGTCACTACAACGCGTCAGTGAGTCGGCCATCAGACTTTGCAATGACTTCTCTCAACAACTTCACTCGGTCAGAGGTTAAGCTCAACTGTGCTTGGTTTCGGACCTCTCCCGGATCCCACTGAGATGTTCCAATCTCCATGGAACCACTGCGGTTCTTAGCCTAGTCCCGTTTCTAAAGCCTTGGTTCTTTCGACCAAGTTCAGAAGGTCTCACACAAGAAGTGTTTCAGAGTTGCAAAAAGAATGAAGGAAGAAAACAAAAACTAGAAACACATCAAATGACAGGCTAAACTGCAAATGGAAGAAGACACCCATTTGAATACCCTCGCACCGTCAACAGCCCAGGTGCCGCATAGAAGATGCTCACAGTCTTCCTCTGGCCCACCGCCAGCGAGCCCAAGGACACCTAACGGCCGATGTCACGGTGTCCGGCTGCGGAGTCCACGGTCCACAGCGGATGAAGACTGTTTCAGAAAGGCCGGCATGGGATGAACATGAATTGATTAAAACATCACATGCGCACTTCTGGCTGGAAAGCCACTACGAATCTTGAATCATCTAGCACGTATTTCTAATTTTAATCTGCTTGCCTCTCTGCGTCCTTGCAAGCATCTGCGAAGAAGAGCGTCGCCCAAGACTAACAGCTTCCCGTGGACGGTGATGGATTCCAACGGTTCAGCGCCCGTCCACCTCCATGTTCGCTCAACTCATCCTAAGAAACCATCCTAAGAAACCTTTCCAGGGTTCATGGATCACGTATTGCCTAGAGGCCATGCCTCAAAACCTGGGTCATCCTGTCAGTCGGTCGTCCCTACCATATTTTACGGGGCATGCGGGCCCCCGATGGTCTTCACCTTCGCCTGGCCGGACCGTGTCCGGTGACCATCGGACCTGACCATCCAAACGCATTAATCCAAAAGAACAACATAGTCTAATACCTGCAGGCCCCTTTTGAGCTACAGCCGTTTCAATCATAGATGCTTGGTCGGGGACGATCCAAATTTACCGCCTTGGACACGATTTCTTTCGCCGTGGCACGTAGATGGCATACGCGCCGTCGGATTGTGAGGTGGCCAACTGTGAACCAGTAGCGGCCTCCGGTGAATCACGCCGAGGTGAATCTTTCCGGGTGACACAAAAATGCGTGGGAGGTTGACCTTCCTGGTAGTCCATTCTCTTCATTTGTGGGGTGTCAATCAGGCTTTTGGGAGCTTTGACTGCACAGCCATTTTCCAAAAGGTCTCTTTCCGGTGTCCCTTCCCCCAACACCCATTGCTGGCCCTGAGCTGCCGGCAGAGACGGCGCTCCATTCATGTTGGCCCTGTAAGATGATGGAGTGGGTGTCATAGTGAGGCGAAAAGAGGTAGAGGCCCTCATTGCCTGCCGACTGGCTGACACACTCAGGTCGGCCACATGGGTGGGTCCATGAGCAAAGCACCTGGTCGGGTCCAGACCGGGGGTCCAGACCGGCCGCTGCTGGAGTGGAGCTGAGCCGATGGGAAGTCTTTCACTCATTTCACCTGGCTTTTTCATCGAATCAGTGAGGTTTTGAACCCCACAATTGGATCAATGAGAATCATTTTCCTCACTCACAAGTTCTTGGGTCAATTTTCCCATCAGTCTCATCCCTCAGTCATCCTCAGTCCAATGTTCACAAGCTCTGCTGCGATCTTGCAGCTGGTATAAGGAGCCCTATGTCCAGTGGAAAGGATACACCGAAAATACCTATGATATTTGAGGCTTTTCTCCCAAGAAACGCGCGAAACGCCAAATCATCGCCTGACATCACCCGCAGGATCTTCCCATGCGGTGCGGCCACGAACTGCCCTGCAGCGAAGTAGCCTGGCCGGAGAGGCAGCCTGGGGATCTTAGAGAAAAGCAGAGGCAGAGTATTCCCCCAGATTGAAACTTTGCACAAAGCTTGTACACTATTTGAAAAGTGGATGGCACTGATCCGGCACCATTTAGTTGTTTGCGTTTTGGTTTTGGCCCCCTTTCTAAGACAGCCTGCAAAAAATTAGTGCATGGCACTGGAGGGCTACAAATGAGGTGTGTGAGCCAGTTATTCTGCCTCGTTTTGAGACAAGATAGATAACACCCCCTCCGGGCCAGACTTAAGGAAAAAAAAACAACATAAAAAATCAACTTTGTCAAAGTACATGGCGCAAGTAGGCCCAAAACGTCATAGATTCAACGCCATGCATTTTCAAAAAATTGTAGAACGCAGACAAGCGACTTGTCACACCCCTCACCCCTTTTCACCATCCAACATCCCAGGCTCCCTCTGAAAACGTACGCTGTCTCTCCCCCATTGTCAATTACCCCTTTGAAGACCCCCACACCGAAGGGGGGTACCATCCGGCGCGGCCCACCGAGTCCCCACGAACCGCGCGCCTTGATCCTTGCTGGGCCGGTCGGAGGTTCCGATCCAGTCGTCCGAGCTGCCCAACCACACCTGCACCGAGCGGGCGGGCGGGCACGCTCGGGGCACCGGCAAGTGCAGAAATCGCATGGCCGCTGCCGGTGAGTTGCAGACGACTCAGAACTAGGCCTCTGCTCAATGGATCCAATGCAAGCTACTTCCGTGAGCCGCCTTCTACCTATGAACCAACACGTGTTTCAGCTGGACCAGCTGTTCCAGCTCAACAACAGGGCAATCAAAAAAGCGTTTTGGCGCTTGGGGTGACCGGAAAAGGAAAGGAAAGGTGGGTCTACTGTGATGGTCTACTCAGTTTACATCAACGCCTGTAGATCCGAGACGGCATCCAAGGCTGTGAAGGAGTAGGTGATCTTCAAGATCATGCCATCCCCCACAAAGCTGTAACTGCCTCCATCGCAACAAGGCAAACATGGGTTGGTGGGTCTCTTTTGGAGGTGTTTCGTCTGACCAAGAGGAGTTGACTCAAGGGGAAAATGGCTGCGTTTTCTCATGGTTTCTCGTTCTGAGACGGAGTTTGGGGACCCCTCCGAGAATCCTGGGCATTCGCTACTAGTAACAAGGGCATTGCTACTAGTAGCAAGAAGCTAGTAGGTTGGAGGCCATCGCTACAAGGGTGGAGGCCATTGCTACTAGGTTGGAGGCCATTGCCACTAGTAGCAAGAAGCTACTAGTAACAAGGGCATCGCTACTAGTAACATGGGCATTCGGGAAGTCAAAATCTCTGGAGCCGCGAGGTTTGCTCGACTCATCCACGACTTCGTCGTCCAAGTCCGAAGTCTGGTCGTGGGAAACGCATGGGTTTCATTTCGTACCTCACGCTTGCGACGAATTCGTGAGCCAGCTACAAAGTTGCAGCAAAGAGCACCACCTCAATCTCTAGACAGAGTCTACTGAGTGAAAACAAGACCCTAATATATTGTTGCTCACATGGCTGCGTCTCAACATAGGGTCACCACAAAAAATAACGAATCAAGAGGAACTGGCTATTGACATTATATGTATATATGTATATGGCAGTATAGCCATAGCCAATCCAACGGAGGAGTCATTTTCGTCTTATTCGGCCCTCGGAGCTTGGGTCCGAGACGGAAGCGGTCAGCGTCGTCATCGAACCAACACCCCGAACTGACCGGTCCCACGGCGGTCCCTCGAACGAACAGTCAAAGGCTTCACCGAGGAGCGCAAGACTTCCGCCTGGAGGCCGTGGAGGACTTCAAGGGCCAGGAGGCTAGGCGGCTACTAGTAGGGGAGGAGGCAGGGCACGGCTTTGAAAGCCGATGTGGTAGAAAAATTGTGTCAAAATAGACGGTATGCGACCTGAAAATGTTTTAAACCTCTGAGAGCACCAATCCACTCATGGCAGCCATGAGGCAATGCAAAATGGCCAGGAAATGTTTGGCAGATCAGTCTTACGGAAGTCCTATTTCCTTGCCTCGTAATCTAATGCTGTGGGAGTAGGAAATGGCCCATTGCTGGCCATGTGTCTTTTATGTGGTTCACATGTTGTGATAGGGCAATTTTGATCATTCTTGCCAATTTCACAAAAAATATATATATACTGTAACCAACGCATCACATCATATCACATCTCTCAAAAGCAAAGGCCACCCGTCCCGTTGCAGCCATCCGTTCGGCCTTGGGCAAACCGAGGACTGACAGCTGTGACCGGGTCGCCATCCCTTCGCGGCCCTCGGAGCTTTCCATGATCGCCTCCCCTCAGAGCACCGATCGCGGTCAGGTGAGGTCGCGGTCAGGTCCGAAGTTCAGAGATTGACCGGTGACCAGGGTGGCTGTTCAGAGACTTGCAAACGGGGAGTTGGAGGGCCTAGCTTTACTAGCTTTGGGAAAGAAAAGGGAAAGGAGTCCATGATGCTCCATCTGTCCGAAGTCTTGCTCTTTTGTTTGGGTCTTTCAAAGATTGAGATACAACATTCAAGGACACCGGTGACCTCAAACCCGGTGTGGGGGTGCGGGGGGTCGTGGGGGTGAGGCATTCTGTTGATGGATAAGTCCTGCATCAGATGCGGAATCTCTGGCAAATAGCAAGCGGTTGGCAGCATGATGAGCCTATTCCCAACCGATATTCTTTGGAGGGACAAAAATGAGGTTCCGGGTAGGGGGTGGAGGAGTGATAGAAATGATTCTGGGGATCCCTACTACCTCAAGTGGTGCAACCTAGGAGGTGGGGTCAACCAGTGAGCTGGCACCTAGGAGGGGGGGGTCAATTTCTGGGGGTTACATTCAGAGGTTCCAGAACGCGTTTCAACTAGCATGAATGGCAAGATTCACACCACGGCTTCAGGCAGAATACCAGCACACCTGCAGAAATGGTGAAGAACCGTCGAGTTGAACCACTAACGTAGCATGCAACACCTGCACTGCTTCACGTGAGCCTGGGCGAACACATGCGAACACACTGGTTCACGCTAGGAGCCCCTGCCACTGGTCGTGACGAGATTTCCATTGACCTGCAAAGATGGGGAATTTAGTGCGGACTCCTGTGGTTCACAAGCTGACTCAAATACTAGACACTAGTAGCTTCTTGTTACAAGTAGTAATGGCCTCCAACCTAATAGCGATGGCCTCCACCTCGTACAGTAGCTTCTTGTTGCTCTGACTCGTGGTTCAGGTTTGGAGGAAAAAGGCACCGGCAGCCTTTTCATCTAGAGGATGGTCGTGCATCAGTTTCTTCCAATCAACCCCTGAATCACCCCTCTGATCCCACCCACAAATCGAGAATCTACACTGCAAAGCAAGTTATGCAACAACCCATCGTTTCTGTTGGCGAGTCTTCATGCAAACCTGATCTATCTTTTCATGATCATTGTGACCACATTTTGGCGGGGACATCAGCACACTGGATGGCACACGTGTTTCCGCACGTGTACCTTTTTGAGTTATAAGTTATAACATTTCTGTCACTTGGTGCACTCGAGTTGATGACATCTGCTTTTCAACTCGGACCCTCTGCTTTACTCTTCTTTAACCAGCTCTTCGGCACCTTGCGATGACGTGAAAAAACCCCAGCGTCGGCCCTCTTCGCGCCCGGCGCTCCGGCCGTTGGGAAAAAGGCTTGGGGCAACTCCTCGGATCCATGGTACGTTGGCGACATCGGTCATCGTGGTGAGGTCCTCACTTGGACGGCGGTGCCCCGCCTTGATGGCATACTCCAGGCTTTGCGTCCCATAGGTGAGCTTACTCCAGCTGACTCCCCCGTCGACCAGGTGATCGGAGTAGTAGAACGGCTGCCCTAAGCCTCGGAGGCGGGCGGGCAGCTCGTGAGACCGGAGGAAAGCCTGGGTGCCGATGTGAGGAAAGCCCCACGCTCGTCACAAAACCACCCACGACCCACCAGTCGTTCGGGCGAGAAGACGTTGTCTGGTGGTCCCATCGCCGGTTTCGCTAGACATATGAGTTCTCAAAGTGATGAACATGAGGATACCAGGATGCACGGGAATTACAGGTGAATGGACACTCCCTGGCTTTTTCACCTTTCGGAGGCCCATTCATAGACCCAAATGGGGACCCTAGGCTGCGAGGTCTTGGTGTCCTTTTTTCTGGACTCCAACACCCCCCCGAGTGCGTCCTGCGTGCGACCCAGGAAACTTCCATCCTCCAACACGCCAATCTTCAGATACTTGCTCTGTAGGACCTCAAGAGATGGCAGCGAAGCTCACGCAAGACCAACGACATGCGCGAAGAACACAGACCGTGTATCCCGGCGTGTATCCCGACGCTACGAAGCATAGTGTCACTGGAACATCATGAGACTGTTGACCCCCCTCGAATGGCCCAGTGAATGAGGATGGCAATGGTGCTGGGCCTCTACCAAAATAGCTATATTATATCTATATATCATGGAGATATTGAGATACATTGTTGTCCCTTCATGCAATGTGAAAAGAGCCCCAAGCCGTGTCTTGGGAACTCTCCAACCTCAGAATCGGAGGAAAGGCGGAATGGCCAGCAAAAGCTGGCTATGAGTCTGCCGACTAGCCGGCCATGATCCCTCAACTGTCCTTGTTCGCTTGGGGGAGTGAGATGTTTGAGACAACCCAATTGACTGGCGCCGTTACCCCTCTTTCAGAGGTTCGGCACGTTGCGGACTCTTCGCAGCCGTCCAAGGCCCCAGGGCGGTTGAACCGAACATATGTGCTAGAACAAAATGGTTGACCTCCACAATAAGATCTGTTAGTTATTAAAAAAATAGACATGAGGCAGAGTCTTGACTCCAAACAGCTCATTCTGTAAGGATCAAAGACCCGACGGATAAATCTCAGAGTTCGGGGGAAATCACGCACACAGTGGAATCCTCAGGCGCTGACACCTAGCCCACGGATGGTGGTGGTCGTTAGGACAGGCAAAGTGAAGACAGGTTGGGTGGTCGTGGTGGTCGTCGTGGTCGTGGTGGTCGTGGTCGTGGAGGTGGTCGTCGTGGCTTCGGCAAGTTCTCCTGACAAACAGGGCAGCGAGAAATGTGGCCGTTGAAGACTAGATGTACAGATGCACCCCTTTCAGTTGCTTTTGACCGCATGGAACTAAGATCAACTAAGAACAGATGCACCCTTCTCAAAGCTCAACTGAGCAAACACTATCAAACTCTCTGATGAAGCATCATGAAGGTTTATCAACTATTCTACTAAACCCCGGGGTATATCGGAGTGAATGAAACTGTCAAATAACAGTGGCACTGACAAAGTGGCAAACCCCTAACAAAACGCTCACGAGTCTTCTCTGGCAGCTCTTTCGAACTGTTGTTGTTTGAAGACGACTACAAGACTACGTAACTGTACCTCAGGGTGTCTGAACCCAAAACAAATCAGCAAATCCTCCCCCCTCCAAACCAACCACCCCCAAATCCGTATCTACGCCCACCCCCTTTCACGCCTTCCACCTCGACGGCCTCGCTGGCACGACTGAGCTGCACCAGATGCGTGGACCCGGCGGCCTGGGTTGACCCGAGGCGTGGGGGTCAGGGTGGGAGGCGGGTCGGGGGTTGGGGGTAGGTCCAGGTAGGCCATAAAGAGGGCAAAAGGGGGGGTTTGGGAAATGTTGGGAATGCACTCAGGTCGAGAGTGAATGGAATGAGCGTTACTGCAGGTATTCGTAAAGTGATTGTTTTTGCTGAAAATATCCAAGGTCATACATGCCCTTGCAGAAACGGTAGATCAAAGTTTTGGCGGTGTAGGGTGTCGCGATTCAATGCAACCAATTAGATTTAGATGGTTTAAGACTTAAAAAGTCCTGGAGTCCGTTACAGACTGAATATTTTGCATGAGGAACAGGTCTGGCCTTGACTGGTTTGCAGGGCTGCAATGTGCTGGTTGACTCAGCCAGTTTGACAAGGATTGCCCCACCGAAGGCCTCCTACGGCTGTCGGAAGGTTTCACATGATTGTCCATGTCGTCGGGTGGTGAAACCCACGGAGAGACCCGCAGTGCCCAGTGGATCCAGGTGCACTGAAAACGAAAAGGAGCCACCAACTTGTAATACATTCTGTCTATTCACGACCTGGGATATGGTCCCTTGGAAGACGACTTTCCTTTACGAGCAGGGGCTGAACCCCACTTCAATGTGAGTGAGTCGGAGTGGAGGTCGATGGTCTTTTGAGGAACTCACGACTCTGCTATCTTTATCAATCTCTAGTCATTCCCTAGGGCCTAGGGCTCCAACCATATCCTCACAAGGTGGTTAGACCCTGCAAACCCACCCCAACCACCTTTGAAACGGAGGTGGGCCAGGAGCCCTGACTTGGACACCTCGCCAACTCACTGCGAGTGGTCGACCGTCTGACCGATCCTTCGGACAGAAACACCGATCGTTCGTCCGCCCAAGGCACCGCGTAGAAGATGGTGGCCTTCTTGGTCTGCCCGGCAGACAAAGCGCCCAAGGGAACCTGAGCATTCAGGTCTTGACAGCGGAGGAGGTGAACAAACAAAACGCATGAATCTGCCATGGAAAGCGGCCGCAAAAGCTGAAACCCATGAGGGGAACTAGCCTTCCTCCTGGTCCTGCAAATCAATTTTCATTAGATCCCTGGTGGCTGAAGGACACCATGCCTGGTCAAAGCAAGAAAGGCTCCCCCACAAACCTCCCTGCCATGTCCCAACTCCACTGTGCACGTCGTGTTCGGCCCCCCCAGCCTTTCCTCCGGCCGACACGTTCCTCCGATCCCAGCCGCGCAGATGGCATAGGCCCCGTCGGACATCGACTTGGACAACTCGGAGCGGGTCACCGCCTTGGGGGATGGCGATGGCGATGGCGAGGCGTAGGAGGAAGGGTCCCGGGTGGGCGAAGGAACGGTGAAGGTGGGTAACTCGTCGAAACAGTGTGCTTCCACAGTGTGCAACCCCACCCACCCACCACCGGTGACCGGTGTGGCGTGGTTTGAGCCCTTACTTGTGGGCGTACGATCACTCTGTCTTTTGGACCGTACGATCACTTTGGGCTCGTTCCTTTCGGCCTGACGGTCTGGGGGGAGTGCCCGAGCCTTCGCGGTTGATGGAAGACGTGATTTTGCACGATGGACGGGCACCAACACATTCGGGGTCGACAGACTGCCCTGCATGACTACAAATGGTATGGGCACTCTGGTGCACTTGATGGAGGCAACAGATAAGGTGGATCTGCGTGGTTCTCAAAGAAAGGCCAAGTCCTTATGTTTGAGCTGCAACTATTCACGTGCTGAATCAGTTCCCTAAAGCAGGATGTCAATGTCAATGGTGGCTTTTTTGAGCCGACATCTTCAATTGGGGCTAGTGAGAAACCGGCTGGAATTCACCAACTCCTCCATTGCTTATAGACCAAATGCAGCATCAGCTTCACTAGATTCTGACTGGTGGTTATAGGGAATGAGGGAATGACCACCCACAAGAGATACCTTAAGATTCATGCCCTTATTCCTTACATTCCCTTACTAAACACGATTCAGGATGCCTAGGCCCAAAACCCCATGTTGTCGCAGCCCCTCACTCAGTGCAGTGCAAGCCTCCCCGCATCTGTGTTTGTGCGTCTATGCAAGGCCCAAAACTGGCGGCGGATCATTCGCCCAAACGTGATAGAGATGAAAGTTGGTCATCAAACCAACTTCAATACTATTCTACTTGGTCTCCAATTCAGTTGGTCTTCACAACTGGTCGTCCAAGTTGGTCTTCAATACTGTTCTTGTTCCCTCTAGGACATTTTTCGAAAGCTATCGGCTATCGGAAAGAAAAAAGCCGGACCGGACATTGGATTGCAGATTTCCCCCTAAAACAATGGCTTTCAGGGTGCTTCAGGGGGCAAGCACTGTCACCGATCGGAATTGAAGAAAAACACCGAGCAGAGTCCATGGGCCCCTCCAGACACCGAGCCATGAGTTCCCTCGCCCGGGGCGAGCTGCTGAGCTCCGCCGGCCAAACCGGGGCTCCGGACATAGACCTCAGGCCAATGGCCGTAGTGTTGCAGGATGATCGAGTGGCTCCCGGGATTGGGCGAGAAGACGAAGACTTCCTCGTTGCCTTGGGAGGGTGTGGGAGGGTTGGTGAGGTGGAAATCACCGTGGTTGAAGCCCAGGTCTCAAAAACAGGAACCTCTAGTAGAAGCTCTTTTGATGGGGTTTTGTATGGAAGAAGAGAGACCTTCTAGCTGACCACGTGGGAAAGATGGAATTTAATGTCTCTGGTTTATAAGCTGTTTCTGCAACCATGAGATACTTTCAAGCTTCAGGACGAAAAGGAAAAGGTCTTCTTATCGTAGTATTATGGGTAGTAAAGAAAGTATTCATGTAAACCCTCCAACTTTTCCTCAGTTTCGTCTCAAAAAGCAATACAAAACTGGAAGCCTCAACGGTGTGTTGTTTTGCATCCAAAAGGTGAATGTCTGCAGGGGTCCATGATTGGGTCTGGGGCTGGACTCCAATGTCTGGAACTCGTCATTTTCAGTCAAAACCCTCGACCTGGCCATCCTCCACTCTCGTATTTTTCTGTCTCAGAACTCTCAAGTCCCTCTCTTCTATGGCCGTCCATCCACACCAACCCGAACCTGCGAAGGAACCTGAAAATCAGGCGATGCTGCGATGTTCACAGCAAGACTGGTCGACGATGCTCTAGTGCAGGTGCAGTATTCCGAGGTCAACATGTCATCCAGTCATCCAGTCACTCGTCCACTTAAACGCAGGCTGTGTGTCTTGAAATTCATACATATATAATATATATATATATATATTATTCATGCTTAGCACTCCAAGCTGCTATCCTGCACCCGCAGGATCTTCCCATGTGCTTGGGGCACGAAGTTGCCCCCGTGGAAGTAACCTGGCGCAAAACCACATCACTGGTTGTTCTCTTCCACTTGCATACATATAGCTTTTTGTATGTGATTGTACGTGTGTTGTATGTGCTTAGCTTATGGAGAAAAAAAAATCAGAACACGTGAACACATCTCATCTATCATGCCTCATCATCTTCATCTTTTGCTTGGATCCTCCGACCCCAATCAACTGGATCCTCCCGCCCGGCCCACGCCTTGCTGCTTGGTGGGCCGATCCGAGCTGCCGATCCAGTCATCCGAGGTGCCCAGCCACACCTCGGCGAAAGAGACGGTCCGACGGTACAAAAGTCGGCGAAGAGTTCGAGGAAACTACGGTTGACTGAGTGAAGGGCTTAGAACCACTGTCGTTGTCGTTGTTGTTGCTGCTGCTGCGGACTTCTGTTGTTCTTGTTCCTGCTGAAGATGGGACACAAAAAATGTTGCTTCGACAACATCTGCGGTCCTAAGCCCTTCGCGGTTGCTTGCCGTTTCCACATACCTATTGGCAGCAGCCTCCAGTCCTGTGGATTTCCGCACCAATCTTCATAGTCACTCCGTGTCTTTAGCAGAATGCTGTTCCCCCTCCTGAATTTGAGGCAATTTCTAAACAAGCTGCCCAGCTACCCCTCAAAGCCCCCCATCTGATACCCGAACTCCCTATCATCTCAACCCCCCCACCTCAACCCCCATCTCACTCCCTCAGTTCTCTCAACCCCCAGACCCAGACCCAGACCAAACGGCTCGGCCTTGAGGTCCGACAGCTCGGTCAAAGCCGTGAACTCGTAGGTGATGCGCAAGATCATGCCATCCCCCGCGAAGGAGTATCTCCCTCACCGAAGCGGCTCCCGAAGCGAGGCTCGGAGACTCGACTTCGTCCCACGAATGTGGACGACGGGAACTGGGCACAACCGGCCGAACGTGTTGAATCTATGGGTCCATGTCTTGACAGGGGGTACATCGATCAGACTCGGTAGACTCAGTAGACGTGAGCTTGTTTGATCCGTTTTGTGTATCTCTACGTGAAGTCAGGTTCCATTAGTGCTTACGCATGCACGCTCCTGGGTGAAGTCCGAAAGTCCAAAAAGAATCAGGTTCATCATGGTCATCGTCTTCTCACCATCACTGACCTCTCATCTGCGTATCTAAACCACAAAGATGCACAAATACCACCACAAACACTGTTTGGGAAAGCAATAAATGTCAGAGCTGACCCAAATTTAGCCACCCGATCCCCAGAGAAAACTACCTGATTAGCCTACTGTCTGTGTCCTTTCTCTATGTCCCTTGTCCACAAAGCCCAGGAGCGAATCACTTCTGCCTGGCCAATGGCGAAACTCCGCTGGCGAGAAAGTCCAATCGGTTAGGCAGCTAAGCATAGCTAAGCATGGGAGTCAAGAAAAGAACAATGGCGTGGTTGCAAAGGGACTTCATCCAAATAATGTGCCCGATTTCGTTCGAATCTGGAGGGTGGTGTCTGTGATTTCCTCTCTGCAATAGCCCTTTGGTGTCCGCAAACAGGGAGACCTGGCGGCCCGTTCGGCAAGGGCCCAGGCAATGGATCTCCAGGCGCGAGTCAGGTTCCGTTTGGGGCCATTGGTCCTCCCATGGTCCCATAGACATGTGGAGCGACCGATCTGCAAACTAACCTCTCTGGTCGAACGTCAGCACAGGAGAAGGCCCTTCGAATCACACTCCCACGCCATATGACCAGTTCAGTCCCGTGCTCTCGATCTTGCTTTCGCACGTCCCTTGCTCGAGAGCCTTGCAGTTTTGATCCTCCCTCCGCGTGTCGTTCTTCCGCCTTGGAGACGCCGTTCACGGTGACCTGCGAGCGGATGGACAAGCTCTGCCCAGGCGTGGAGCTCTCGATGGCTGGCTCACCTGAAGCGTGCGGTCCCCGGAGCCGCGCGCGTGGGATGCACGTGGCGGGGCGCCAGGAGCAGGTATTGAGCTACTTACTTGTGTTGGCTGGATTTAAAGCCCACCAAAGCCATCCAAAGCCAATCTATAGAAGCAATCGCCCAGTGAAACACCCTACAACAAGATCGGCAACCAACTGAGTGGAAGTTCTTGCAAGAAAGAGGCGGTGAATTTCAGTGAGTTCCCTGGAAAAGTGTGGAATTGATGATGTCACCTCCGGAACTCTGGAGGTTTCATGAACAAATGGATCGAAGACTTGGCACAGAATCTGTTCATGCCACTGATGAGAAACCCCACCTCGGATGGCTCTCTTGAGGACTGAGCCCATCTCCCCCAGATTGACCTGGCAAAACGGCTTTGAACCCCAGTGGTTTGGGTCGTCCTCCGGCTCCAGCCGCGACTGAGGTCCCAGACCCCCAATCTCCGCCTTCTCTCCATTCACCTGAATTGGGCTCCCATGGCCGTTCCCACGGCCCAGAGAGAGAGAGGGAGAGAGGGAGAGAGAGAGAAAGAAAGAAAGAAAGAAAGAAAGAACAAGAGAGTGTGCAACCAAGCCAGGCACAAGGCACGGTTTTCGGGATCATCTGCGCCATCCATTTTTGGTGCGGGTTTGTTTGTGAAAAGGAAACAGGAAGCGTCTCTGCCCATGAGCCTGAAAGAGCCAGTTGGCACGTGCCTTGATGGCGTAGTTCAGCTTGAAGGTACCATAGGTGAGCTTGGTCCACCCATGTTGCTGGGAGAAATAGAAAGGTTGCCCCAAACCTTAGCTCTCAAACTACGACACAAGTAAAAGCAATCACACGGTCGGGGGTGCTCACCGCCGCGACACTGGGTTCATGTTGGGTCGCACTGCTTCCTCTGAAGGGTCCTACTCCTGTTCTACCTGCGGAGCCTTGACCAGAAGCATCAGCCCTGCTTTTGTTCGGCCAGCGACTTCCATCGTTCAGCACAGCGATCTTCAAGTAAGGGTTCTGCAGGACCTCGGCAGTGTCAGGACCCTTCCTTCAGAAAGTGAATTGGAAAAACCTACCCACTGATCTCATCATGTTGATTGGTGACAGATCATTGAGTCATTGAGCCGTGACAGGGCATTGACTGCAGAGTCGATAAGCGGTAGGCAACAAATTGAAACACGGTGTACCAAGTTCACCAAGTATCTCAAGAGTTCCATGAAAGTGGTTCTGGTTCACGTAATTCAGCCAAAACCCTACCCCAAAAGCCATTCAAGAACCCGAGAGTGAATCAAATTTCAGGTAGCTTCAAGCTGCTGCTGTTGCTACTCTGTTGCTGCTGCGTAACCTAAAACAACTCCCTCCGTCCCAAAGGGGCTAGCGGCTAGAGCCTTGGGGGCTGAGAAGATCTCGATGTTGTGGAGTCGATCGTCGATCCCTCAAAGCAAACGGTTTCAGCACATCTCTCCAGCCCCTGAAGTCACTGTCATCCATGGTGTTCCGAACGTCCCTCGTCCAGTGTGGTGGTGCCAAAACTACTTGTTCGTGGTGTTTGCACGGACAAGTTAGGACGTCCCCTATCGCTTTTCAGGGCTTTGGTCTTTCCACCGATATTTTTGCATTCCATGCAGGGAGTGCAATTTGAGAATTGGGGGTGGACGAACCGTTGGTCAGCAACGACGGGTGGGTAGCAGCAGCAGTAGCAGCAGCAGACCACCCGTAGACCAGCAGACTGGCACACCAGGAGGGGCAGCAAGCCACTAGCAAGGCAGGCAGCCAGCGCAAGATCAGCAACAGCAGCAGCAGCAGCGAGCAAACCAGCAAATCAGAAGCAGCAAGAGCAGCAGAGCAGCAAGCAAAAGCAAGCGGCAGCAGGCAGCAACAGCAGCAAAGCAGCAAGCACCAGCAAGCAGCAGCAAGCAGGCAGCTAGCACCAGCAAACCCAGCAGCAGCAACAACCCAGCAGCAAACCAGTAACCCAGAAGCAGCAACACCAGCAAGCAGCAGCAGGCAGCAACAGCGGCAGCGGCAGCAGCAAAGTAGCGAGCAGGCAGCCAGCACCAGCAAAACCAGCAGCAGCAGCAGCAGCAGCAAGCCAGCAGCAAACCAGCAGCAGACCAGCAAACCAGAAGCAGCAACACCGGCAAGCCAGCAGCAGCAGCAGCAGAGCAGCAAGAAGAGGCAAGCAGGCAGCAACAGCAGCAGTAGCAGCAGCAAAGCAGCAAACACCAGCACGCAGCAGCAAGCAGGCAGCCAGCAGCAGCAAAGCCAGCCAGCACCAGCAAAAGCAGCAGCAAACCAGCAGCAAACCAAGTGTACGTGTGGGGATCTTGTCATGTGGCTGAGAAAACATACCTTGCTTCGTTGGGGTATCGTTGAAATCGCCCATTAATGGAAGCAAAAACGGATCCGCACTCTTTCCCGAGCTCTGCCCATGATCAAGTTCAAGCTGAGTAGATCCCCGGTGTGCAGGCCAAAACGGCTCCAAGCTGTGACAACTTCTAAGGATCTGTCCATCTCACTGGCTGCAATGCAAGTCTTAGAGGTATCGTGTTTTTAGGACATCGAAGAAAACATTGAAAGCGCTAGCTGCGTGAAGCGCCCCATTTAAAACTACACGACGCTGGTTTTGTCTCTGACTCTAGTCTCTTCGCACCAGCCCAGCGGCATTCAACCCATCACTCGGACCGCTCACACTGGTGCTCGCCATTGCCGGCGCCATGGTCACTGCCATGGTCGGTGCCATCGTCACCGGCGCCATGGTCACGGGAGCCATGGTTGCTGGCGCTGTGGCCGTCGGCACTATCGCAGCCGCATGGCCTGCAAGGACGGACTGAGTGGAGGGCGGATGATGAGTTGGTCATGCGCGGACCCAAAGCCATGACGCTTTTGGGTGTTCATCAGAAAAATGTGTGTGTGTCCACACCTGTGCCTAGGTTTTGAGTCACAAAGGACGCTACTAGGGGCCCCTGGTTTCGCTACTAAGGGCTCCTAGTATCGCTATTAGCGTGCAGTTTTTCAAATCAGAAACAGCGCGAGCAAAAAGATGCAGGGGGCTCGTGGACGCATGGATGGCACGAGCCAACGAAGACCCATCCATGTCGTCGTGATACCAGACCTGATCAGTCTGGCGTACCTGCAACCTTTTAACACTTTGGCAGCCTTATCCGTTTCACCCAATGTTAAACTATTCAAGTACTGCCGACTCTTTCACCATTCCGTTATGCAAGTCAAGGTCTACAATGCAGCGGGTAATGTAATCATCTAAAGTGGGACTTCATTCTGATCCTAGCTCTTGCGAGCAACCATCCAAGTGTGTACTCGCCACAGAGTCCCACTGAGGGCTGTGGTGTGATCCCCGTCGAGGGGCGCAGCATGTGCATCTTGGCGTTTCATTCGATTACTTCTGGCTTGACGGTTCTGCTCGATACCAATGATTTCATGCCGCAGGGCTTACTGAGACTCATGGTCCAGACCAGATTTGCACTTCCATGCATGTGTCTAAGCTTCGGACTCAGACATGTCAGCGCATGTGCTTTTCATGCTCTTGGGTTCTTTCTCTCTTTCTGTTGCGTTTCGTTTCTTGAGGCCTTTCTTTAGGTTTCAGGTACCTTTCAGACAAGGGTGCGCCGGCCAAAATCGGCTTGACTTGAATGCCTATGATGGCACACCCTATCCCACCCTCCCCCCTACCTCCCTGCCCCTGGGCCTCCGTTGCTATCCCACCCGCTATTTAGGGTAACAGAAGGAAATCGCACTCAACACACTTGTGTGTTGGTGCCTTTCCTTCTGTTTCTCCTGTCCTACTTCTAGCTACCCGGGCGGTTTAAGACAAAAGTCCCGCTCGCTAACTACTTTCGTTTAACTAAGTGGGCCTCGTAACTACACCCATCTTTCTTTCTTGCCCTCTTAGTCTGCTTTTGTTTTGTTTTCTTTGTCTGTCTTTCTAAGGCTTATTAGGTGGCTAGTAATTTTTCCGCAGCGCCAATATTGGCGCTATGTGTACAAAGAGCGCACCGATTACGGCCTTGTCTTTGTGTATGTATCCATACATGTGCTTAAGGCTTTGCGTCACCAACGACGCTACTAGGGGCTTCTGGAATCGCTATTGGGAGCAAGGACGGTACTACTAGGGGCCTCTGGCCGTTCTACGGGGAGTAAGGACGCTACTAGGCTCCTGGCCTCACTACTAGTTTGCAAGCAGGGGAGAGCGCGCCGAGTACTGCTTCGTGTGTGTGTCCACACCTGTGCCTAAGGTTTTGAGTCACAAAGGACGCTACTAGGGGCCCCTGGTTTTGCTACTAAGGGCTCCTAGTATCGCTATTAGCGTGCAGTTTTTCAAATCAGAAACAGCGCGAGCAAAAAGATGCAGGGGGCTCGTGGACGCATGGATGGCACGAGCCAACGAAGACCCATCCATGTCGTCGTGATACCAGACCTGATCAGTCTGGCGTACCTGCAACCTTTTGACACTTTGGCAGCCTTATCCGTTTCACCCAATGTTAAACTATTCAAGTACTGCCGACTCTTTCACCATTCCGTTATGCAAGTCAAGGTCTACAATGCAGCGGGTAATGTAATCATCTAAAGTGGGACTTCATTCTGATCCTAGCTCTTGCGAGCAACCATCCAAGTGTGTGTCAAGTCCTGTCCCTAAGGACCCCTGACACCCATGGACATTATAGCAGGGGGCCCATGGACATTTGAATGGCATGGGCCAACGAAGACCCATCCAAGCTATCGTGCAAACGTACCTGCAACCCACTTTAAGTTTTGCCACGTTTCAACTGTTGACTAAGCTGTGACTCCAATTCCTTAAGGTGCTAGCACGCCTTTGTTCAAACATTCTTTTCCGCTGACGAATCACCCTTCCGTTCTGCAAGTTAAGCTCTATAGCTCTCAGTAACGTACAGTGCTAGTCTCACGGGAATTTCCAAACTGATATAGCTCTTGTGAGCATGGATCTAAGTGCCTTTTAATGTGTGTTCTTTCTTCTTGGGGAGGGCTCTTTTTGGGGAGGGTTACTGTAATCAGTGAAACACTCCTGCCAGCGGGCTTTCCTGCACAGAACTTGCTGAACATGTCATCCCGCTGACCTGCGGTTTCTGCTTCCGCACTGACCCTGGTGAGGTGCGAGAGTTGGCTGGCCGAGGCAGCCTGAGAAGGCATCGACACGGCATCGTGCGTAGCTGGAGATGGGCCCAGTCTGGATCACCTGGGCCCACCCTTGATAGAGATGGGCCCAGTCACAGGCGATCGGGGATCTCCCGATTTTCGCTCTCACACCCATGGACGATCTGCTTGGACCACTAATCTCCTCCTGTTCGGGGCCCTTTTGGAGCCTGACTGAAAGTCTTTGGAACTACTGACCAGATCGAGTAACTGGATCCACTGGCATAGATATGGCTCAAGAATCAACGGACCAACAAAACAAATGTTTCGTCCCGTTTGGCCGACCGACCATCGAGCGCGGGCGCGCTCAGCACCCGATTTGATTGAGCCCTTCCCACGTTGAAAAATGAGGGTTGGTCAAAGCTGTGGTACAGCTTTGTAACACTTTTTTTATGGCATCAGCTTGGCATGACTACAAAAGAACTCCAGCCAAAGCTCTGCATAGAAAAAGCTCGCGCGCTTCGTCTCTCCAAAGGCTGCGTCACCACAGGGTACCTCGCTAATCGGCATGGCTTCGAACAAATGCCGTACAAGAACAGCCACCATCAACCAGTGACCTCCAAAACAAGAGAGAACTGGATTTATTTCAAGAGGATTCACATGATTGACTCGTTTCTACACTAGGGGTGACAAGGAAGAGATGTGCAAAATGCTGTGTCCAAAGATGAGCTAGGATTGGCGTGGCAGTGGCATTCAAGTTGTTCAGAGTCCGTATGGCCCTATCTCCATCCTCAACTCAAAATCAAGAAATGAGATGAAATGAGTATCCTCAAACCACAAATGCAAAAGGGGATATACTATATGCATTGTCCCCTACTCTATCTACCAAATGACCGTGCCTCCGCCCATTCAAAGCGCCCTCTTTGCCCAAACACCAAGCTTCCTACCTCAAAACACTCCAGTGGTCAAAATACTCAAATACTCAAAGGCCTTGAAAAGAAGGCGCTGAAAAAAAGCATCAAGACAGTGTCGGACTGATCACTGTTCCAACAGTCTGTTCACTCCAACGGCAGAAGCGGACGTGCCGTCCTCCGGGCCTCCGGTCCCCCCGGACTGCACGGTCCAAGTCGCATAGATGCCATAGGCTCCATCCGAGGTGGACTGCGACATGTCGGACATGGTTGCAGCCTCAACAAGGATGCACAGGAACACGGCATCGAAAGGATACAACTGGGACCTCGAAAGGATAAGCTACACATGGCCTCTAAGTCTCCCAACAAAAGTATCGGTACATGATTGGTTTCAAGCTTGAGACCATGTCCTTCCAGGACAATTCCCCACTTCTCTCCTTCTCTTGAAAAAAAGGGGCATAGACCTGGGACCAATTCCCATAGTGCTGCAAGATGATGGCATGGCTCTCCAGCTGCGGAGAGAAGGCGAAGACCGACTCCTCACCTGGCAAGACCGACACTCCACCGCTTCCACCCGGAGCCACCAAAGGAGGGCCAGTCCGATGGAACACAACAGTTTTTCAAATACCCCGCTGGCAGTGCCCAAGTGCTCATGTTCCCAAGGTGATGATCATCTGATATGGGTCTGATATGATATGTACTGACATGTTATAAGATTGGTTTTGAACGAAAAGTACCCCATCCCAACTCCCACGAAAACGACCAGCGCAAAAGCGCATGACGCATTGAGGCCTATCATGATCTGAATGCAAGGAAGACTTTGAGTCCCATGTGTAGCCCTATGACGGAAGGTTGCGAAAGGAGACATGTCGCTTCGCGGTAATTTACCGCAAAAAAAAAAAAACATCTTGAAACTGTCGGGGTTGATTTCCCCTGGATTCTGTAATTCTATATTCTATGCAATTCTGCACAACTCTGCCATTTCATCGAAAGATTCCACCATCTCGTGAAGGGAGTCACAACCTATCATTCATGAAACTATCTTATCTGACTCCTCCTCTCCAAAGAGCCGAAAGAATCCAGCGTGTAACTAACCCTCATCCTCATCCTGCCTTAAAACCCCATTCCGCTCGGTCCATCGACCGCGGTACCCGTCCGCCTGACTGGACCCGCAAGACATGCCCATGAGGTTCGTGCACGAAGCTACCCCCACGAAAGTTGCCTGCAACGCTTGGCAGGACGAGGTGGGCGTGACACACACTGGTGGAGTTGTCATGGAGTGGTATCTTCCAAGACTTTGGACCTTTTTGGACCTCTGAACCACTGCTCACCAGGGTGAGTTCTTCTCCTTTTACTTGGGTCCTCCTGGAGATACCGGAGATACACCCAAAACATCCCAAACCACATGTAGTGCATCCAAGAGGTCTGTTTGACACCTTCATCTCTCTCTTCCTCGAGACCGAAATGAGCTTGTGGCACGTGTGGCTTGCTTGCTGCCGCTTCGAAGTCTGAATGTCCTCCACAAAAACAACACCAACCGCACTAAGCATGGATAAAATGATAAAGCTCTGCACCACTCGCCCCGAATCCGGATGAATGTGGGACGTTACGGGCCTTGCTCCTTGCTGGGTCGATCGCTGGTGCCAATCCAATCGTCCGAGGTGCCCAGGTAGACCTCGTGGGTCGTTCGGTTCGGGTTCGGGTTCACGGAGGGTGCTGCGGTGAACACCCGGGTGTTCACCGGGGGGGAGGGGCTTGGGGGGGGGCGTAGGGTGTTCTCTGTTGACCCTCAACCGGTGAGATTCCTCTCGAATCCCGCTGTGGATTTGAAGCATTTGTTCGCTCTCACATCTATCCCGCTTCGATCCACAGGGTTCCACCGTGTGCGTATTTGTTTTTGTCCACAATGAATGAACTTCAAGGGTTTGTGGAAAACAAACTTGCAAAGGGTACAAACACAGAGACAGTCATGAGTCATAACAAACTTTCCAGATCCATGTATTCTATGGGTTCAGAAAAACAGGTTGTCACCAAATGTCGTCCGAAGTCTTCAGCTTCCTGCGTCCCATCGCAGCTCATCTGCCTGAAGATTGTACAAAGGAGTCAACGCTGTGAAGGTGAAGGTGATGTTCAAGACCATGCCATCGCCCAGAAAGCTGTAGCTACCTGAGTCCGCACAGACGATCACCCAGCCACCGGGTCACCGAGAAACACCGAGAGTCACCGCCGACGCAACGTCCCGCAACGTCGGTCGCCGCATCGACGCGCCAAGGGACGGGTCAAGGTGGCCTGGCGGTCCGGTCCACGTGCGCTCTTCGCGGGCGCGGAGAGCGATGGACCGTTGAGAAAGGGAAGAGCTGAGGCGAGCCCAGTGGTTGATGATGGTGCTTTCTTTCCTGAATTAACAGCTGAGCTGCCTTAAAGCCCACATCCTGCAAGAGGTTTGCAAATCTAAGGGGTGCAGAGAGAACAGGTGCAGGTTCCTCGGTCTGTATACATGTGGTTGCAGCCAATTCCTTTTTGCGCTGTGGAGGCAAAATTGATGTCTATAATATATATATATATATGTGTGTGTGTGTGTGTCTTTCCACTCGCTTGGGTTTTCGCAGCCCTACAACCGCTGGATATGTGATCTTGATGACGGAGGTAGAAGGAGAAACTCTTTGCATTCTTATTCCTACAGGTCAAGGAGCTCATTTGATCATTTGACTGGATCCGGTCATGCAAAGCCAGTACTCAATGAGGTTAAGGACCAGGTTTAACTTGGCCCGACTGGACTTGTAGCGTTGTGTCACCGAACTCTAACTGCGCTCCCCTTGCTCCTTTGCCACTTCGTGACTCCGTGTCATTTGCTACTGACTTGGGGCACGGAGCTTGAGGAGACGGGAGATTCTCACCCTCTCAAGGATCAAAATGAGTTGTTTGAGTTTAGTTGAACTCTGGAGGATGTGATCTCCATATATTATATATATATATTTATACTAGATTCTAGATACCAGACCAGAGACGAGGTGGTTTGGGCTGTACATTGCTCTGCAATGCTGCGCATGTGTCATGGCGGTGGAGGAAGAAATCCTAGAAACAACACCTGGAACCCCCAGAAACACACCGAAAATACAAATGTGTTGGTTGGTTTTGGTCGAGCTCAAGTGGTGTTGGGTGTGCCTTTCTTCACCGTCAAAAGTCTTGCCAGTCGCGCCCAGCACCGCAGACGGAGTGCTCGACCAGGACAGTCAGTAAGTCGGTGAGCTAAACAGCGGATTTGTGAGGGTTCCCCAGACATACTGTAATACAGGTAATGATTAGATATAATTAGATTGGTTTTAATGAATCCCCCAATAAAACTTGTGTAGAACATCAGCTATCGGCTATCTATTTGGAGACTTGAGCCACCCATGACCCTTTTTTCCTAAGAGAGACCATGATCCGCAAAAATCCGGACAGCACGTTGGAGTCCCAAACGTTGGATTGTTCCCTCCCCTCATGGAACATCCAAGCACAATGGTCACCCTGACTTCCCCCAAGCCTTCCAGCCCAAGGCCCTCGAAAAAGAACATACTAAAAAAATCCGACTTCATTCAGGCGTCTTCCTACCTCGACCCCGTTGGGATCCCTTTAAAAACAACAAAACACTCAGGGCCTGTGGGATGCCATCCATGATGAGCTGGGAGCGACCCTTGAAGTGCTGCTCATCGGAGCTCAAAATGGTCACATCCCCTGCCGAGGAGGTCGGATCAAACAAGATCAAACGAGGGGGAGGACCAGAGGAGCCGATGGGCGGGGATCAGATCGGTGATCCATTCGACGAGAAAAATGAACTCAGGCATACTCAGGTTTTCTTGGATGTGCACCATACTCGGCCTACCATACCTGCGCCATGCCGACCACTTCGTGCTTTTCCCCTTCGGCGCAAGGAGTCTTGCTCATCAACCATTGTTCATTCGCTTTGACTTTGACCCATTCCGATGCCGATCATATACATTACTGCAAACACTGCGCCAACCCGCCGAGGCAGATAAACTCTTACATCCAGCAAAGCTTTGGCAGGCAAACCACTGGTAAGCACGCCAGGAGGATTCTGGCTAAACAAATCATGCCAGGGTAACCCTGGGTACTCAAAAAATCCCAAAGACCCTTTTCACCCAAACAAATAGAAAGATGCTCCAACGGCCCCTCCTTCCGTCTTTCCCCCCTCTATCCCCCACTAATATTGAGCTCGTCCACTAATATTCCCAAGGGCGTTCCGGCCTGAGATGCTGGCCAAATGGCCATTCACCTCGCAGCGGCCGAGTTTTCGTTGCAACGACCACCGGGGGACCCAGACTGGGCGAGGACATGCGAGGGCGTATGCTCAGGAGCGGCTTCTCAGCTGGTGGTCTCACCAATTTGCAACATGGCAAAAACAGGACACGTGGGTTGGTTCCACAGGATGCAGTATAGTATTTATGGTATTCTGACTTCAAGTATTTTCTAGCTTGCTATGGTTTATGTTTGGCGTTGAGTACTGTGGTTGCTTGATGTTGCTTGATGTTTTTGGCTTCTCTGATGAATGTGTTTGCATGTTTTTGCTGTGACAACTTTTGGCAACTTGGGGGAAGCACAAGTGCCAAAGAAGCTGCCCAAGACAAGGAAGGGACAACTAGTCTCTGGTTGTTATGGAACACTTGGAAGAAGTTCGTGTTTAATAGGAGAGGTGGACAGGGGGTCTTCTTGGGCGGTCTCCCTATTCAACTACACACCCACTTCAATCCTCAAGTCTTTAGGCGCCTTACAATCAAGGTCCCATTTCTGAGTATACACAGTTCTTGAAAAGTGAGGGTGGGGCCGTGATGAGCCAGTTGTGAATCAATGAAAACTCAAATCAACTCACCGACTGCTTCGAGCCTTACAAAAACAAGGGTACAGGTGAACTTGGAAATTCCTTGAGTGATGTGAAAAGCAGGGGTGAGCCGATTCTGATTCGATGGACATGGTCAGAGCAGCCTTCGGGGCCGGAAACATTAAAACACGGTGTCTGTCGGTGGAAAACCTGGAGAGCACCCCAGTTGTCCCCAACTTCCAGTGGATGTGCACCCAATAACATGCTTTGTGGGTCTTGGCTTTTGAGTTTTTGACCAATCTTTTTTGCTTGACTCCTTGACAATGTCTGAGGGAGCTGAAAACAGGTCGGATGTCGCCAATGTCCCGCGATTTTTTGGCCCTTCGACCATCTTGCCCTCTTCCCCGGCCTGGAGGCCAGCCGTCGGAGCAAAAGGATGGCCATGAAGTCCGAAGACTAAACAGGTGGTGGGTTTTCACGAAACCAGGATGATTTCAGGGCTGAAAATAACGGCACTCCCCCACCCACGTCGGTCGCACTGTCCTCGCCTTAATGGCATAGTCCAAATGTTGAGCACCATAGGTCAACTTCGTCCAACCATGCTGGTCCGACATGTAAAAGGGCTGCGCTAGACCTGCACAGGAAACGAGCGAAGCGATCGGAAAAAAACGACAGGATGGTTTGTCGGGTGGGATTGGGAAAATGGATTTGGTAGATCGATTTACCCTGGGCAAAGGTACCTGATACCATCTGATACTTCTGCTTCTTCGTTGGAAGTCATGTCCCATACTCGATATGAACTGGATGGAGGGGTGAGGCATGAACTGCAGGGATTGCGAAGTGCACGAAAGTTCGAAGATTGGCCGCCGCTTTGGCACGATGCGACTCGGCCACACTGAAGATCACCAAACGGGTGAGCAAAACACGCGGAGATGTGCCAGACACTGGGTGATCCCTGTGTGACTCAAAAACTAGGTTTCTGCCAGGTATCCACCTTAGATATCCTAAACAAATGTGACTTCAGAACAATTGGCACCTAAAAAAGGAGCAGATTCTGATCCAAATCCCAACCCACCTTCCTCCACCACCCCGCCAATCCTCCCACTCCTCGAGCTGTACAACTTTATTAAAAGAAAAAAGGGAAAAAAACAATCCCAAGTTGTACAGTTTCCAAGAAAAACGATTCACTTCCAAGAAAAACTCTACAACTGAATCGTTCCACGCAGTTCTCCAAGAAAAACCATTCACTTCCCCGCTTTTGGCTTGCGGCCTCCATCCGGCAGGACCGAGACTTTGAGGTATTGACTCTGAAGCACCTCGCCGCTCCAGTCGCGGTGCGGCGCGACTGGAGCGCAGTGGGAGACGGAGGAACTGCGGAGTGGAGACCTGTTTGACTGCGGAAAGGAAGAGAAAGGTCCAGTCACGGTGTAATCTCTGAGTGCAGGCTGTACTTGGCGGCGCATCCATTGCAGCGTGCTGTCAAAGTATTGTTTGGGGTTGTCGAAGTGTTGCGTATTGACAAATTTATCGAACAACCCAATATCTTCGCTGTAAAACATCCCGATGTCAACGAGCTGAGACCCACGAACCTTTTTCAATTCCCTTTTTCAAATTGGTGGGTCAAAGCCCACGAACCTTGCTTCACCTGCCATGGACGTCCCCAAAAAGAGGAGCGCCACTCGATCCTCGGGTGCTGGCTGCCCGCAGCCACATGCTCACGCTTTGTGGTTGAACACGCTTTGGGTCAGTTGGGAATCGCAGCTGGCCGAGTTTGGCATGAGGGCAGTTGCGCGCACAAACCCATGGCCTGCAGGGCTTCCTCATCTCCTCAGGCATCCAAAGAAAATGTCTGTGATCAGGAGGTCAGTGACTTGAGGTCGATAATACAAGGAATGTGGAAAAAAAACCTGCCAACCGATGCGAACCAGTATGTGTATAGATCATCTTTGCCATGGGTCATCTTCGAAGTCCAGGATGTCAGTGTTAGGAAAAATTATGTACGAGATTGCCGCTCATTCTGATGCCACAGGTTACGGTGCGTTGTTGCTTGTGCAGGTCTGGGCTCTTATTTGGGTCCCGATTCCCGATCGTTAAAGAGAAATGGCGGGCCGTTTTGCCTCTCTTCCGTGCCAGGCCATCCGCAGACTGGAGAAAAACAACATCCCATGGTCAGTCCTCCGCTGCTGCTACTGCTACTGCTATGGCTGGTCATTCCTGGCCGAGCGCTTCTTCTGGAAGAGAAGATCTATGGTTCGAAGAGAAAGAACCCAAACATGTGGCTTCCCACTCTATGGTTGTTGGCTTCTTGCAGAACTAGCTTTTGTCTTGATTCGCTTCAGATTGATGTATCTTTCACAAAGCTCTCTGGGGCTCTCTCTGTTTCGGCTATAAATGTATATAATTGGAGGGGAATGTTGACCAATTGACTACTACATATGTATATATATATAGAGCGAGAGAGAGGCTCTAACTAAGACTGAGGGACTTAGGAATTCCGAAATGGCCCTGAACAAAGCCAACCGCTCTTCCATTGACTAATTCATTGTGACATTGTGGGCACTGACAACAAGTTAGTGTGCCTGATCAGTTCAGTTCATTCTCATAATTCAAGATAGAGAGCATTTCGAGCCAACACGAACAGGACCTATTGTCAATTTATGCGTTCGGGAGGTAGTCATCCTTACATCCCTGCAACATGCGGCGGGCATCAAACCACTATTTTGAAGCACAAAAGGGTGCGCCTTGGGTCAGCGTGGAAAGTAGATAGCAGGTCAAAGGGGTGTCCCTTAAAGGTCCCTTGGCGGATGTAGCAAATACCTCTCGCTGAGGTTCTTTAAATGGACGATTGTCTGCTGGCTGCTGGCTAGTCATACAGATTGCGGCCCATAGCCGCTAGCCCACGGAGTCGGAGCCAAGTCCTGCGCTGGAACTTCCTCCACTTTGGTACAGACCTGTTCCTGCAGCCAGTTGACGTGCCTAGTGCTTGAAAAGAGTCAACAATCGTGGTGCCCATTCATCCAAATCAGCGTTTCAGACGGTGCTCACTCATCCTTGAACTGACGGACTTCCATGGCATCCATAGCATCGTTTAGCTTCCCAAAAAACTCTACTAGTCACAAGGACGCTACGAACGGAACAAAGGGCATCGCTTTCTTCACGTAGCAAGAACGCTACTACAAACAGGGCGCTCCTGGCCACTAGGAGCAAGAATCTACTAGTCACAAGGACTCTTCTGAAGGCGCCCGGAACCGAAAAACGACCGTCCTGCGCTGCTCGCCGTGCTAGGGCTGTCCGTGACTCCTGGCGGCCGAGCTGTTGGCAGAAACATGATCCACCAAATGTTTGGTGCAAGTCTGAAGGACTTCAAACTGCATGAGTCAATGAGGGATTGCAAAAGTGTATATATATATATATGTAATTATATATACAGTAACTTGATTGGTTACATGCCAAATGAACGATTGAAAACATTGTGGCATCATTGTGGGATGGATTGAAACAAAAAGCATAAATGAATTGCTCCTTATTAAAGGCTACCGGCTCATCTTTAATGAGCAAATACATGGGTTTGGTGAAGGTCATCAGTCGCAAAAGCAACAATACCTCATATCGTAATATATCGGCTCACAAAAAGATAATGACTTCAAGAGGCTGTTGTTCCCAACAGCTTGTTCATCATGTTGCATCTAGTCAATCTAGTCTCACCGCATCTATTGCTTTTTGGGGTTTTCTTCGCAGCATCAAAGCACTCCCAAACGACCAGTTCCTCAACCACATGTTCTCGGGAAAGGCAGCAACAGCCGCTTTTCAGAGAATGCCACACTCCTCTCTGAGAAGACGAGGCCAGTTCCCCCACCACTCAGAAACCACGGGTACTGCGTGTCCTCCACCGCTGCCACTGCTAAAGTGAACCGTGTGGGAGTGGGACGCCGTCATTCCTGGCCACGAAATCATCAATTGTCTGTGCCATGCGAAGCCCACCAAGCTCCAACTGTCCTCCACCGAGGCCGTACATGTCGGATCCTGCCACAGGACAAACAGTGAAGCCAAAAAACGAGACAGAAAACGAGTTCACAAGATTGAATGTGTCAGAAAATCGGTGACAAGCAAAAAGACCGACTCGAAACTGGCCCAGGTGCACGGGGGGTAGGCTCTTCTGGTGGCGAACAAGCAACACGTATGTGCAAGATCTCCTCCACTGTACTGCACGCTGTGGGACGAGTGGGAGCCCATCATTCCTGCCACGGAAGCTTGAGCTGCCAATCCATTGCAATTGGTTGGACCCTGACATCTGTTTCAGTCAGTTGAGAAAGAAATGCTCCCAGTCAGTTGCCCCTGTATTCATCCTGGTCCTGAAGTAGGTTAACTATGCAACATTGATCCTTTCTTGGACTGTTCAATCGTCCTTTCCACTCATGCATGAATGAGAACATACATCTTGTTGGTTGGCAGAGACGACGCATGACGCGTGATGGTCAGCTTGGGCAATCAAGACTGTCATTTGCAATGTGAAGGGACTGCTCATTTGTGCAGCAAGCTGAGAGCTTTTTTCCAGGCTTTCAAAGGCCAGTGGTTCCAAATCCCCTAGTGGACATTTCCGATGTAGCTGATTCTCCATGATCGGCTTAGCCATGTTGCGGGAATTTCCATATTCCAAATCACGCCCAAATGGTTTCACTACCCTGAAAAAACCAGCTCTCCTCCACTGCTGTAGTGCACAGTGTGCGAGGAGTGAGAGCTCATTCCTGCCAAGACGTGGAGCGGCATCTGTGCACGTCGAGTCTGTGTCGGGTGAGCTTTGCCAATACCTTCTACAACTTGAAAACCATCCGGAGATGAAAGAGGACACTCTACCAGCTGCATTGATTGAAGATCCACAATGCACCTGACCTTTTTGCCTTTTTCCAACTGCAGAAGGCCCATGAAGGGGAAAATGTTGCTCTACAGGCAGAAGATGTTCGTGTGTGGCTCTAGACAAGGAGCCACTTACCTGTCATGGCATTATCATCAGACTTTCTCAGACACAGTACCACCGTCTGGACATGTCATGACTAGCACAACTCCACTGGCTTGCAGCTTCCCCATTTGGAGATCAACCCATCTATATAATATATATATATATAAAATATGATCCCAGGCCCGCGCCTGGGAATGCACTCGAGCTGGCCTGAATCGGCCAACGATCCAATCCGTGCCTAGTAGTGCCTCCTACAATGCCTACCAAGGAAATCTGGATGTCAGTTGTGTCTCCAAGGTAAATGAGGTCAGAAGCTACGAACGGGGCGAAACTGGCATCGCGACTCGAACGGAGCGATCGGACGCTACGAACTGGGCGAAACTGGCCTTACTACTATAGGAACAAGAAGCTACTATAGGGGCAAGAGTCAGCCAGAGATCGGCAGTTAGGCCAGGAGGCCCGTTCGTAGCATCCTTGCTCCGTTCGTAGCGATGCCCTTTGCTCTGTTCGTAGCGTCCTTCTTACTAGTAGTAAGGCCAGTTTCGCCCCTATAAGGCAAATGAGATTACATAGAATCTCCATGGGCTACTACTCCGACCCTAAGTTATTGCATCCCACAAGCCCAGGGTGTTCCTTTATCCGCCTAAGCACGACTCATCTGTAGGGAACGTGGATTCTATACACAAACAACATCAAACAACTGTTTGGTACATAAAATCCCTTCAAACCCCGATCTGTCTGTGGGAGAGTCCCTCCTATACATAAGTAATTATAAGTAAGTCATAATGCCATAAAATCTGGGTCGAACCCTCTCCAACCCAGGTTCACCAAGGCACATCGAAGAAGGCTTGAGCTCTTCTGGGCTGCGCGCCCGGAGAGGCCTCGCAGGTTGGATCATGCAGCAGAAGACCGTCGGAGGCCTTCACGTTCCTGTTAGAGCTCTTTTCCTTAATCTTACTGCTGAGGCAGAAACGTGCAGCACATTCCAACGGTTCATGCTACAGGACGCTTGGGGCGACACGCTGAAGCAAAGAACCCGACCCGTTTACAAAGATCCTTGCTTTCGGATGCTTAATGCTTTTAGAAACCTTTGTTGCTTTGACTCGCACAACATCATCTATGGGAACACAGCTTTGCCCTGGAATGAACCCAAGAACTTCAAGAACTTCATCGCTGGAGCATCGATGAATAATTACACCAAATTAAAAAACAACTAGTGCCAAAAATTGACCATTGACCATTGAATTGCCTCAACTCCCTGAACACTGCTACACCCCCTCCCCCCGTCCCGCGGTCGCCGATCGTCACCTCGGCTCCGCCGGGTGCCACGACCAGATTCCTGGGCGGTCCGCCAGGGGCGGCACCCGAACGAGCCACGGGCTTCGTAGGCTTCAAGCCACCGGGGATTCACCCAGTCACCACAGCCAGTCGATCTCCGGTTTGTGGCAGTCATTCTACACTTGCAAATCTGAGCGTACAAGTAGCCGTCGTGGCCAGTGGCATCCCAATTGCGACAAAAAGAAATGTGCCAAGTGCCAAGAGTCCTGGCATAAAGGCAAACAACAACTGTGGCGACACGTCGCTACACGTCCTCCCCATGCGGTCATGGACATTCTCTGGAAGCTGGACACTCGGCCAAGACGCAGTAGTAGCACCCATCGGCAAACACGCATGGCAATGCCTGGCGAATCACCCGTGGGAGTCCGTCCCGATGGTTCACTCCCACTGCCAGCGAGATGCAGGTGTCATTGCTCGCTTGTTCAGCTTCTCACATGACTCATCGGTTGGAAAACGGGCCTAGAAGGCCCTGTAGATGCACATTCGCTAACTTAGCATGGCCCCATTATGGAGGAAAATATCTTCTATAGACCCTACATTCAGGAATTTCTGGGGGAACTGGGAGGGGTTGTGCCAGAGAAACGAGTTCCACTGAAGCAGGCCCTGCAAAGAGAGATAGAGAGACAAAGAGAGGGGGACAGGAAAAACAAGAGACACAAGAAAACTTGGCCTGTTGCTTCGAGGTATTCTGAAAGGAACACTGATACATTAGTGTGTTTACCAAAAGTAGCAACACAACGCTCCACAAAACGACTTGAAACCAAAGCCAGCTGTTCTAACTCGGTGCGGGAGTCTCTTTACAAGCGGCTTCTTATGTCTTCGCGACGTTTAGTTCCTTCTTGCCGCGTAGTAAACAAAATGCCAAAACAAGCACAGTGGCCCGACAACTGTTTTCTCCACCTTGCTGACGATCGAATCAACAAGCCTTGGGATAATTCCAAAAATGATCAGAGATTGGCGCAAAAACATTCTCGCAACATCAGAAGCAGCAGCTTCTCCACAGTGATCATGCACCGCCCAACCACCCCATCCCTCTGCGTGCACCTCGCTTCCCGCGAGCAAGGCGCCCGCGGGACGCGATGAACCCAATGATCCGCTGGCTACTTTGAGCCAGGACTGGACAGATCGCGCAGTGCGCGTGGCAGGAGCAGACTTGGGACAGCCACAGCTTCACAGACTATTTCTGAAGTTCCTGATCTAACATAGTGTCTAGATCTTGAAGCTTTCAGATCTTTCAGAGATCGGAGCTCCCTAGATAGCCTATTCGACTTGCTCAAGTAAAATCCCATGCAAACGGCAAACGCGGCAATTCACCTGTCAGACCCCGCTAAGGATTCATCATCAAGGTGGAAGGTCTCATGGCTCTGGTCAAGACCAGGCGAGACTCCCTCCGCCGAACTGAACGCCCGGTCTTCATCGATCCGACTGCAAAACACGCGACCTCAAGATGCGCATGAGGACAGGGTTGCTAGGATTTTCGACAACCATGCTAACCATGCCTGGGTTCTCTCATTCCTTCCATCCTCACGGCAAGTCTAGAAGGGCTGGACAGAGACGAGCCTCCGTCCCTATGCTGCAGAAAAAATATACAGTCATATACAGTCGAGGTAAGAAAAAAATATGTGTATATAAAATATAGAGAGAGAGAGAGTAAAAAAATGCATTGTTTCTATGGTGTTCCATTGCCTTGACCCACCCCACAGACGAGCTCGGGCGCAAAGAGATACTCATCGGCTGATGCGGATCCTTCGAGGACCTGGCCACTCGCGGCGGACCGGTGTCTTCGAAGGCAAAGACAAAAAGGTTAGGGGACACCTCTTCTTTGTCCATAGTACCCAAAGAGGTTTGTATCGGTTGAGGATTTGTTGGGATTTGTGAGCTCTTCTTACTCACAATAAGGGTGCTTTTGCGGGAATTTCCGTCGAATTTCTCCGGTGGTCTCCGGCTGACTTGTTCTGGGTTGCTTTAGCTTCCGCAATCGCGTTATATTCATCAAGAGAGGCTTCGATGGTTCACCACCAAGTTCACCACCGATGAACATCGGTGTTCCACCACAACAATCAGAATCAACCAGGAACTAGATTGCATGTGTGAATGTTACTATTGCCACTCCACTCCAATGAACATTTGGCCCTTCCTCCAAGTGAAGGTACCCCTCAGTAGAATATATGGTTCTTGAGACAGGTGGAAAAAATAGGAGCATATGAAGAAACATCATAACAGCCCTATATATTGTCAGTTCAGCCAATGTGTGGGCGCACCAACGACCGGCCCATCTACTGAGGGAAGAGTTCGCGTTGAAACGATCGAACTTTGGTCGCCCTATTCTTCGCCCCTGAATTCCACCCCCGCAACATGCTGAAACTGAATGGTCAAAAATACCTTGGGAAATGGGACATGACCCGACCAGGTCAATGAATAGACATAGGGCTTCCCCCTGGGTCCCATGCTGCCGGCGTGAGCCAACGACATAAGCCAATGACTGAGTGACCAATTGGAACCAAGGATCATGCAGTGGGTAGCTTTGGATGGTGCACCTTTAAGATTCATGCCTGTGTCATGTGTGTCACACCACTCTGAGACTGGTCGGGACATGTACTGTTTGGAGGAGCAAGTCCAAGCCTTAGAGTCTCCAAACAAACCAAGAATCCAGTACATGTTAGATGTTGGAAAAGATGATCTTCACTTGTCTATCTTGGCGTTCGGTTCTTGCATGAAGCCATCAATTTCTCTGGTTCAGCTTGGCTTTAAGGTTTCAGAACCGCACTACATAGACTTCTATCTCCTTCAACCGATGGGCCGTCTTCCAACCGATGTTCCGGGCCTCGGCTGCTTCGGCAAGGCCTCAGTTTCAGGGAGTTCTTTGGCTTCGCTACGGAAAGGAAGAAGTTTTTTGGAGCACCTGACTCTGCAGATCACATCTGCAGGTGTTGTTCTGTTTCTTGGTGTCTTTCATGTGCTGAAAGGGTGCTGAAAGCACCAGCCATTCATGGTCCGAATGGTGTAAATGGCAAGCCATTCATGGCATGCGGAACCACCCCGTCATGGAGACGGGTGAGGGTATCAAAAGCTTCCTGTGAACCAGTGATATTCAGTCATGTCGTATCCTATTTGGAAGCCACCCATGCAAGCAAGAACTGTACCTCCAATCTGGCAACTATACACCCACCCAGCATCCCAAACTTTTCTCCGTTGGCGGCCGGGCTCCATGTTGCAAGCGTGGCACCTGCACCAAACGTTGCGCGCACGCGCCGCATGCGAAATCGGGGGCCGGCACCTCAACCCGGGTTTGGGTGTCAAGTCCGACCAACCGTGGAAATATAACACAAGCATCCTTTGAGCCATGGACAAATGGGCATGGTAATGAAATGCCTTTAAAATATAGAACAAGTGGAAGGTTTTAAATGTTTCTCACATACCATGAGTGACGCCGGAAAGGAGTCATCTACCTCTCTTGAAATACTGATAGTTTGCCTGGTATCTGAATTTGACAGGGATGCGGCCGGGAGGGACTTCTTTCTTTGTTTTGAGACAAATCCGAAGGATGAAGTCTGTGAAGTTTTTTGAAATAGTGGGAGCCCTGATCTGGGCTTGTCACAAGCTGAGAGAGGTAAAATATTTAGAGTATATATATATATAATATACGTATAATATACATAATATAGTGAAACAGGTAAGAGATGGAGAAGTCGGTTGCGATGGATCAACACAAGAGATCTGACGGACCAAGAAAGTGGAAACTTTGGTTGTTGCCTTGGTACCACTCTAAACCCCCCAACGTTGCGCTACAGGCTCAAACCTGGTCCCAAACACATGGCAGGCACCATGATCTAAAACCACGGAGTGCCAAGAAAAAGGACATCGACAAACCTGTAGCTCCATGGTCTCTGCAGTTCTTGCCATCTTCATCTATCTTCATGTTGGGGTGGCTCATGAGGCGTTCGCCAGGACATGCTGTCAGAAGAACGATCAACACCAGCCCGGGACCATGCGGACATATGCGGACCGTGCGCCTTGCGTGCCATAGCGGCACAAAGGTGTTTTGGGGGGTCGGTCAAAGACGAGAATGGGGTGCCAAGAAGCTGAGTTTGAGGTGAGAGTTCACCGTGATCCTCGTGATCGAGCAAATGATCTTAGGGCCTGGGAATCATGATTTGAGATGCGTATGCCCTCTTTGTTGGGTTATGTCAACTTCGGTTCTGGATCTCACCTGGGAGATAGCATTGCGTTCTGGCTTCTGACATGACAGTGAGATGTCGAGAAATATGATCATCCAAACGATTCTTTGCTTCAGTGAACCACCTCCGCCAAGTCTGTTTGCTTCAGTGAAGTGCCTTCGTCTGTCTTTCCGACCCCGGTGGCGAGCGAGCTTCTCAAAAGGATCGCTACCACACCGGCGACGGAGAGTTATCCGTGGAAGATCCCAAGGAGGTCCAGAGACACGTGGCAGTCTCTTTGGTCACCACTCAGCACCAGATTTGCTGCTAGCTGCCGGCCATCAGGATGCTACAAGAAAGGATACAGTACATTTCAAAAAAGGAAAGACCACCAGAGCGTGTGAATAACCCTCCATTTGAGTGAGTCGAAGTGTATGAATGTTACTCGATGCTTAATAAGTCTCAGTGTGAGTCCTGAAAACATGTGTCACCAAGCCGCGTCAACTCGCGAGTGAGCCATAGGACCATGCTGCCTAGAGAGATTTCTGTAGAGCCCTCCAGGACTGAATCTCTTCACCCGGCACCCTCCCATCCGCACCCTGCGCCGCTTCTTTGAAATCTGTGAATGTAAGAAATCTCAGAGCCTTCCAGCCGGTTGCATAAAATCCCGACCCGCGTAACTCTTGAAGGATATAACTGACCACACATGATCACAGCGCGGCTGCGTGCATGCTGCAACGATTCCAGACCAGTCGGATATCTTGGGGATTGAATCCACATCGGCATGTTGTCAATTGTTCAAAGGCACAGGGGGATGGTCAAAACAAGAGCAGATTCATACATCAACCCTCTGACATCCCAGAAAACATGAGGCAGTGAAATACATCATGTGTCTCTGCATATCACGCACTGTCGCCCGAGCGCAAGCTATGTGGTACTCATAAGGGAAGAGCGTATGCTGTGACTCTTCCATCTTCTGCAATTCCAGAAAGAACGGTCGAGATTTCGGAGTGTACCCTGCGTAGCAAGAGGAGCCCGGTGCTTGGTTTGTGGAGAACAAAGCAGGAGAGGTGCACGTCCCATGTGTTTTCTCCCGTCCCCATGGGTGTCCTGAACGTCAACATCTACTGCACCGGGAAGGAGAATGCTCCACATCCTCCAACCCAATAGGCTATTGG